TTGGCGCTGCAAGCCTGGGAGGTGGGAGAAGTGGAGCAGCGACAGCGTGCTCGGGGAGGAGGTGGAGCAGAGGTGAGCTGGGGTGGAGAGCTGCCGCATGGCTCCCCGGGCTGGGGGTGGGGTGGGGAGCTGCCGCGGCGGGGGAGGGGGGACCTCAGGGCAGAGGGGGGGGCGGGGGGGCGCAAGGTGGAAGTTTCGCCGAGCGTGTGAAACATCCTTGCACCGGCCCTGCCATACCCAGCTTCAGCTCCACAATGTAAGTGACCCCGGGAGCCCTCACACACGGATTGTTTTCTATGGCCCTAGTCATGTGCATTCGTATTAGATGGGCAGAGTTCCTGAGGCAGCTCCAGTACTTGCTGGTGGGGTCAGGAGCTGACCCCCCACCCAGACCTCTGTACAGGGCCCAACAAACCCTTGTACTTACCAAACCCTCCCTGACAGCCTTTCCAGCGGCACCCACCGTGCCAAGCCCCAGGCAGAGGCACCAGGCACACTTAGCCATTGCTAGGGATGCCCAGCCTCCCCCAGCCAGACATCGCCCCACGTCCACACAGCCAAGAGCTGCAGGGGGAAAGCTAGCGGCCACCACCCTGACCTCTGCATCTACAGCCAGCCTGGAATGAGGTCACGGCCCACAGCTAGGCAGCTAGGCTCCCTGCTCCTCCTCCAAACCTTCCCTTCCTCCCCTTTCCCCCAGCTGGCCTTCAAACATGGAAAGCAGGAGCTCTTTGCAGCGAGACAGGCCAGCTGGCGGCCCTGTGAGGAGACTGCTACTGCCACACTGTGGGATCTTACACCTACTGCAGGAAGGGATGCTCTTCCTCCTTGACCTCCCGATCAGATTCCTTTCAGGAGCAGTTCTCCAAGGGGTCTTTGGAAAAGTTAAATGTGTGTTTATGTCCAAGAGATGAGTAAGGACAAGGCAGAGCCCGGCCCCTACCTTGTGCTCCAGCTGCACCGCCCAGCTTTCCAACCGCCTCCTGCCACTCCCAGGCAAAGCAACTTCTGCCCAGCCAGGACTGGCATCATGCAGAGCGGCCGTCCCTACCTTGATATACTCCAGGATCTGAAACCCTCCTGTGCTGGCAACCAGGCTCAGACTCAGCATCACCAAATGCCATCAGCTCTGAGGAGCCCAACCCTATCTCCCCAGTGATGCTCCTCCATCCCCCTGGCATGGCTCCTGGCAGGGACAATGGTGAACAGCCCATCCCCCACCCTCCTCACAGGTGCACCCAGAGCATCTGACTTGCTGCACTTGAACTGAAAATCACACACGATAGCTGAGCACCCTTTCCTCTCCTCCATGCGCAGGCCCCAGTAGCCACCAAGACTAGGCCCTCAGCCCAGGGGCCGTGGTTGCTCCCTCCCTTGCCCCTATCCATGGTCTGCCACAGGTTTAGGAACTAGAAAGCTCACAACCCCAGGCACCCGCATGGCCCAGGAAGGAGATTCTCCAGACCTAATCAACCCTGTGCTCCACTCAGCCCAGTCTCCCGCTTCTGGCCTTCCAGGGAAAGTGTAAGAAACATGCTGTGGGACCATTATAAAATCAACTGCCTAGAAAGTGACTCTGGTCAGGAAGAAAGTCAGTGGTCAGCTTGTGCCCTGAAGCAGGAAAGTTTTTGTTCTTCCTATTTCTGTAACCTGCCTACCATAGCTGAGGGTGTTCTCACTGATTACATAAGTGTCCAATCATTTGACGGCTAAGGTGGCCTGGAGCAACATACCTTGTGGCAGTGAGTTCCACATGCTAATTGGGCAAAACAATTTTTTAAATGTTCTTTTATCAGTTTTAAATTTGCCACGTTTTAGTTTTATTAAATTTCCCCTTGTGTTATGAGAGAATAAAGAGGAATAGCTGGTCTACCTTCTCCATGTCATTCATTATCTTACATACCTCTAGCCGCCCAGTCCCTCTCATTCATATGCTCTCTAAAGGAAACGGTCCTGGTCTTTCCATTCTTTCTCCATTTTTCTAGGGTGTTGGAAGTTTATTCTGTGCACTTTCCCCCACACCAGTTCCTGCTGTGCTACTCCAGATGATGGTGTATCATTACTGAAAATATCCCATGATATGAGGTATTATTTTCTAGGCTATTCCTTATGCAGCCTAATGTTTTGGTTGCCTTCCAGCCACTGCTGCGTTCTGCCCTGGAGTCTTCATTGAGCTGTTCACATTGACACAGGAAGCAAGCAGGCAAAGTTCATTTAGAACCTAATAAGTTATTCCCTCCCATATTTACAATTTAATCCAGCAGCATGCTACCCATTCACCTAACTCAGGGGGAGGCTCTGAAGTTCCCCACTCTCGACTTATCTAAATAATTGTGTCATTTGCACACTTTGCCATCTCCTGGTTCATCCTTTTTCCCAGATCACCATTAGTACTTGTTTTGTAGTAGCACCTAAGAGCCTCTGTCATGAACCAGGGCCCCATGCACCAGGCGCTGTACAAATAGATCAAAGGGATAGTTCTCATCCAAAAGATCTTACGAATGCTTTAGACACCAGAGCTAGAGGGGAATGCTATGCCTCCCCCTCCCACCCCCCCGTCATTCCATTCTACTATACTAACAATTAAGCATTTATGCCTACTCTTTTCTATTAGCCACTTTCTAGTGTAGGACAGTACTTTGCTACTCAAATCCAGGACTACTTCACTTCCTTAGCCAGCTCTTTTGAAGGACTTTGCCAAAGGCCCTTTGGAAGTCCAAAGAAGCGATTTCATCTGGTACTCCTTTATCCACTATTTTGTGGACATACTATAAAGTACCTGTAGCACATTTTCCTATCTAGAAGCTGTGCTGTTTTGTAGCCATCGCATCCATTTAGGAGCTTTATAGTCATCTCATCCCAGCTGCAGTAAGGATCACCAGGTAATTCCCAGCATTGGCCTCACCAACTCTTTAAAGAGAGCTACAACAGTTGCTGTCCTTGGGGTACAGCTGGTGCTACCCCAAGGACAAGAATCTCAGACCAGTGCCATCTCAACCAGAACAGGAGCATTTGCTGCCCTACCTACAGACTCCCACCCACCCCGCCTTTGCCCATGACGGTGGATTTGCTTTGATGATTTTTTAGACTAACATTTCATCCCCCAGCACAGCACCATGTCTAAACAGCCAGCAGCATCTCAATCCCATGCAAAGAGTGCTCACTTGTGATTAGAAAGGGGGACTGGAATGTCCAGCTTTGGTGCCCACTCCTTGTATGGCTTTACCATTGGTTTTCTGTGCCTCAGTTTCCCCCCATCTATAAAAGGGGAATACCCACCTTTTGGAGTCAGAGTGGGGAGAAAGCAGGTCTCTTTAAAGCATTTCAGACCCTCTACTAGAAGGCATGAGGGAAGAGTACAGCTGCATTAACAATATTTCACTCTGGAGTCCCCATGTGCTGTACAGACACGGCAGGTGGGGTTACTAATGGACCCCAACTGCAGACCCCTAAGCCTGCAGGCCACACTTTCGTGCTTTGTTCTTGAGAGGGGACAATTTTCGACTCAAAAGAAACTCCCAGACCAGCTCATTTCACAAGTTCATGTATTTAAATATACAAAAGCTCTATACATGAGGGTCTCACATAAAAAACAGCTGAGAGTGAAGGACACAGAAGTGGGGCTAGAGAGCAATCAGTCAGTCTGTTTTCAAGTAACAAGGATTTGAGGCAAGACTGTGGAGGGTCTGATCCTTGAGGTGCTGTCAGGGGAGATGGGGGTGGTACAGAAATCCACATGGGGCAGAGAGGTGACCAGCTCCCAGCGCTGTGTTCTGGGTCTAAAGGCAAAGGAGCGCATGGATTTTTGGCATTTGAGGTCTTTGGTTTCGTGCAACTTAGACAGCATTGAAGTTCTCACCGCATCGCACCTCTGCCTTTCGATAAGGCTGGGATGTTTAGAAGAGATCACCAAGACAGTAACTAAGGGAGCCTCTGTGCTGATGTGTACGTTCCATTCAGAGGTGGATCATTTGATGCAGGACAGATCTCTGGAGAGTTGACCGCTCACAGAAGCGCTCTGCTTGGCTTAAAGCATCAATCATTTCAGCCACAAACGTGCTATGCTGGACCCCCAGGAATAGAGGGACCGGAGAGAGTCTCAGATTCCATAAGGCAACTGCTAGTTACACTACAAATAAATATCCCCCCAAACCTGTGCATTAGAGACTGAAGAGCAGGAGGATGTAACGCCCGGGACACAGTGTGCCTGTGACCCTCCTGGGCCTGGTCCAGGCTGCTACTCACCACAGCTCCTGACCCACAAGCAGGAGAGAAAGCAGTTCATTGCACCCGCCCAGGGTGCTCAGGCACACCGGGCAGTGCAGAGCACTCCCAAGCTGGGCAGTGGCAGACAGCAGAGAAACCTGAGTGAAACAAGAGCCGTCGCCCTACGAGACTAGTGGCAGGGATGTAAGAGACAGCCCTGGGCGGGCAGAACTAAGTGGGTCAGAGGGAGGATGGGAGCAGGAGGGGTCAGAGTCACTGGAGCTGACCTGCAGCAGATCGATGGAGACACAGGGGGGCCATTCCCTTGGGACAGTGACAGGGCACGTGAAGTAGCTCAGGAGAATAGCTCCATGGTCTAAAGTGCCACTAACCCAGCTATGGAGGAGTCATGCTGGGGCCCAGCAGAACAGCAGGGGAGTCAAGAGTGAAGCCCACGTGCAGAGTGCAACAGGCCTGGTGCTGGGCTATTTACACCGAGGGGGATGGGGACCATTGTGCGTAGAGGCAGCTCCTGGGGCAGAGAGAGCAGCAGGATGTTGACAGGAAGGTACAGGGACCTATCAGGACAGGGGAGGGACAAGATATTTACAGTGGGGTGTATGGGGACCTCCTGCCCCATTAGAAACAGCAATCTCCTCTGCCAGGCATGTAGCAGGAAGTGGCACATGGCCCCAGGGAGAAAGATGCCGCCCCGGCGTGGCAGCCAAATCATGTCAGGTTAAGATTCCCAGTGAAGCCCAGCTCTCGTGGGCTGACTAACTGTCCTGATCCGGCTGCACCGTCTTCTTCCTTGCCCGGCCCCGCATCAGCCTGGAAGAGCCCTGCAAGGGAGGAGAAGCGAGTCAGGCCTCCTTCGATGCACCTGCCCCACCAACGTCGCTCCGTTAACTCCCCTCTCCCAAGGCAGTGCTGAGCTGCCCCCCAAGCAGCCAGGGTGTCCTTTGGAAGCAGTGATGGTGGAAACAGGCTCCCACCTCCCCCCACCCGCACCTGAGGGCACAGCCCTCCCCAGCACCGAAGCCCGGGGCAGACACTGGCACAGCTCCCGGCCCATGGGTCTCCCAGGACAGCAGGGCTGGTGCAGCAAGGCAGGACACAGTCTGCTTGAATCTTCACCTCTTTGACTTGGGGTCTCTTCTTCACGATGCGCAGGCTCTGGCTCCTGGAGATTGTTTTGGACAGCGCTAAGTCCCGGCTGCGGGGCAGAGCCTTGGGAGAGATCTGGGAGTCCGACCAGCATTCCTCTTCCTCCGTGTCACTCTCGCGCCCAGGCTGCCGGCCGGCCGAGGCAGTTCTGTAACCTTTTGGGTGGCAGGGGGGGAGAAAGCCCAGTGCTGGATCAGTGGATGGCACAGGGGTGGGAGTGGATTCCTGCTGCGGCCCTTGGCACATGCCCATCTCTTTAGAAGCCAAGTGCCACGCTGGCAAGAGGGCAGGCTTTGAACCCTCCACTGCTTTTCGCAATGTTCTCTAGCCACAGCTGCTAATTATCAGAGGCTGCTTCTGAACCAGGCTCGCTCCAAGTCCCTCTGCCTGCCATGAGCACAGATGTGTAATTGGGGCTTTGGAAAGCCAAAGTCAGGGAGACAGGCAGAGAGCTCTGGTTGCTACGCTGAGGACTGGGCAGGAGGAGCCTTTCAGAGAAATTCCCCCTTTCCTCCCTCAACACCTTCAGTTTGTGCCAATGTGATGTTGTTAACTCTCAGCTCTTATCTAGCACTTCTCATCCCTAGATCTCAAAGCACTTTACAAAAGGAGGACATTACCATTATCCCCATTTTACAGATGGGAAACTGAGGCACAGATATGCAGTGAATTGCCCCAGGTCACACAGCAAGCCAGCAGAACCCAGGTCTCCAGAGTCCCAGTGCGGTGCTTTATCCACTAAGCCACACTGCCTTCCAGCAATGAGGCAATGCCATTGCAGTCAGGACAATGCTGTCTCCCTTATGGGCTTCAGTTTTTGCTCTTCTCTAGCACCTTCTGTCAGAGCACCATAGAGTGCTTTACCGACACCAATTAACCTGGCAAGCCATCCTCCAGGTGGGGAAACCGAGGCTGGCAGACATCAGGAGCAACTCACCCAGCACCACGATGCCAGAAATAAAACCCAGTTTTCCCAACTCAGTCCCAGGCCTCGCCCTGAGCCATCTGCCCTTCCTCTACTCACTGGCCCTGCAGAGCTGCTCCCACACCCCATACGTGCAGCAAGCACGTTCTATGCAGGAGCTGGTATGCCCCCTTCCAGCCAGCCGCACCATTCTGACCAGCTCTGGAATCCCGCTCACCCCAAATCCTGTACACAGGTCCATCTCCCACAAGGCTTTCTAAGTCACACCTTCCCTCTCTCCAGTTTAGGAGATGCTGGAGGCCAGCCTGACCCGACATTAGCCGCGTTGCTGCAGGAGGGGAGTTTGGCCACAAACCCACCCTGCCTCCTCCTCCAAGTGTGGAGCAGCTCCCCTCCTGCCCAGCCCTCTGCCCCTTTGTAGGTGAAGCCTCGGACAGGGCTTGGGCCCAGTTCCTCAGAAGAGTCCTGGCCCCAGCCCCATCTCTCAGTGGCCAGGGAAGTCTCCCCAGCCCAGCCCCGGATCCGAAGGAGCTAGCCAGCACCCAGTGGGTTACGGGTTCCAGAGAGAACTAAGTTGCACTTCTGTTAGAGCTTTTACAAACCCTAGATCCCCAGGACTTAGTCCCCTCCCCTCCATGCTCTTGCCTCTCACCTATCGGCCGCCTCCTCATCTCCTGCTCCTCCAGGTACAAGGGGTCTTCGTAGTGCACGGGGGCATCATCAGGGATGGCACGCAGGTCCTGCATGCTGAAGCTGCGCAGACGCCCAGCCAGGGCTCCCTGGCTCTGCCAGGCAAATGGGATGGGGGAGATGGTGAGAGACCAGGTCAGGGACACCCTGCGTTGAAGTCACACACCAGGCTGCAGTGGCAGCTTGGAGCACCTAGATCTGCTGCCGCAACTCAACACCCAGGCGAGGAGGGGCAAGGGGCTAGTCGCACCATGGCCAGGTGACTCCTGCAGAGAATGGAGCCTCGAGGGAAGCTTCATGCAAAGTACTGCTCCGTGGGGGCTAACACAGCTGGGACAGTCCATAACTCCAGTGGGTTGTTGGGTGGGGGTGGTTCATCCCGCTGAATAGAGGTCAGGTAGGCATTTACCAAGTAAACACAGGCACTTAAGTGACACGTCTCACCTAGAGATCTCAAAACACTTTACCAGGTGGGTGCCCGCTGGCTAGACAGGAACCCAGGTACAGAAGAGAGGGAACTTGCAGCAAGTCAGGAACAGAACCCAGTCCTGGGTGCTAGCCCCTTGGCAGCACGGCTTGCTTTGAAACACCCAGCTCCTGGGCAGCCAGGCCTGATTATTTCCTCTGATTTTTCCACTTGGTGGGAGGCCTCTAAGCAGGATGTTACGTGCCTCAGACACTGGGGGTGGGGAAGGTTACGGGAGAGCTCAGTGGAATCCAGCTTAATAAACACCTGGTAAACAGGAAAAACGGGCAAAGCTGCATCTGTGTGAGAGGTGCAGAGACGGGGCGGCACGCTGGTCCAAGGAGAGCAGCAGCATTACCTCTGGAGGGGCAGGAGCAGCGAGTTTCTGGCTAGACTGGGGTTAAACCTAACCTCAAAACCACGGTAAACCAACAGTAACCTGGGCATGCATCTGGAACGCTAGGGCTGCGAGCTGCCACACAGCAGCCCCAAGCACGCAGTCCATGCCATGGCACAATCTGTCACTGACATCTGCCAGCTCTGCTGGTTTTTTACTGGGATGTTCCAAGGCCACAACAGCCTCTCAAATCACCCAGGGAGATCAGGTACCTTGGCCGCAGCTTGGACGGCAGCTGTGGCTGCGATGTTGAGGCTCTTCTTGCCGAAGTTCACCATGGTCTCGTAGCCGCGCTCCTTGGCCTGGATGATGTACAGGTCGATTTCCTGCAGAGAGACAGCACAGTGAGCATTCCCAGGGGCCAGGCCCAGATCCCACCTTGGGAAGGAAGAAGAGGAATCCACCTGCTCCAAGACACAAGGGCCCCAGGAACCCCACACAGCTGTGCCAGCGGAGAGGCCTGAGCCAATGTCCGCCTGGCCTTGAGAGCTCTGTACCCCTTAAACTAAACTGCAGCGCTAGCTTGTTCCAGCCGGGGTCTCGCCTTGCCATCCTACCCCACACATTGCTTTATTTGGGAGGAGTTACTGAGCTATGAGCCCCACGGGGCCACGTCTTCCACTCATGCAGCACTGACTCCTTCCGATGCAGGCGACAGAGATACAGAGTCCACGCAACTATGCCCCTACACCGAGAACCATGCAGGAATCCTGCACACAGCCCTGTTACTGCCTCCCCCCCACCCCCCGCTAGGGCTGGGGAGTTCAGGGTTAACGCAATGGCTTTAAAGCCTCCTAAGAAGTTGAATAAAAGCCCCCCACCAAGGAACTGGCCTTTAAATGGATTTAAAGGGAGTTCAGCAGGTCAGGCAGAGGAGCATTGGCAGAGCTGTGCGGGGAAGCTCAGAACTGGAACAACAGGCCGTGCTATAGGGCAGGACTCAGGGACAACAGCAGAGATTTTAGGATCAAGACCAGATGACTTTTTTTTTTTATATAAATAAAGAAAGTTCTAGCTCAACCACAAGGTATGTGCTAGATGCAGGAAGTCCTCTGGGAGGTTCACTGGCCTGTACTATGCAGGAAGACAGAGTAGATGGTCAGAATGACCTCTGCTGGCTTTTAAAAAAACAAAACAAAACTATGACTTGGCTGAGGCTCTGAATTGTAATAGTGAGAGGGATGCGGGTCAGGATTGAGGGGTGTTGGGAGAACAGGGATGCAGAAAGGCTGCACAGCGCCTGCCTCCATTCTGATCAGCGGCCAGCCAGCCCCTCACTTTAAGTGCTAACAATGCAGCTACCCGAGGGAGGGATGGCAGCTTTGCTGAACCCCAGAAGCACGGCGAGAGCGTGGGGACAAGTGACCCGTTACCTTCTCTCTGCGGGACAGCGTGGGGTGCACGAATTTCCGGTAGAGCAGGCTGGCTCCCTTGGTGTAGGGGGAAAGCAGCCACACGACAAATGCCATCTTGATCTCATAGTAGAAGGGAAACCTGCCAGATTGAGAATGCAGCAGTGAGGGGATACACAGGGCCCCCAGAGCCCAACACCTCATACCTCTACCCTTCACCCTCATGGCGAGATGGCTCAATGCAGAGCAACTCAGCGGCTGCAACCCCCATTGTTCCTGTCCACCAAGAGGGGGAGTGGGGAATTTCAGGGAGCTTTCTGCTTCTGGACTGAAAGGATTGCAGGCTGGGGCTGGGGAGCAGCTATCAGGCCCAGCGAGTCCCCCGGCTCATCCCCAGTGGGCATGAAGGGAGAGGGTAAATCAATTCCACCCTTGTTAAAGCAGGACAGATAGGGGCTTGGCAGCTCAAGGGTGCTGGCAAACACGCAGGAGACCCAGATGGACAGATGAACAACTGGGATAGCGTGGAGGGGGTTGTTCCTTCCCTTCCCCTTGGCATGGGGCAGTGGATCAGAGGGCACTTGCAGACCCTGTGAGGCCACGTCCCGGGACAGAAACTAAGATATGGGTGGGCAGACAAGCAGCTGTGGGAAGAGACAAGCCATAAACCCAGCCCACCTCCCTACAGCGGATGGCTAGGCTCAGGCATGCTCCAAGTGACATCACTCTGAAGCATCAGTTCCTTGTACAGGATACGGCCCTGCAGTGGGCTCTGTATGGTCCAGAGGGCCTCCTGCAGGGAAGCCACCCGTGCCCACCAGGAGGAGGTCCTCAAGGCTGGTGCCTTACCAGGAAACGAACATATCCGTGAGAGTCTCCATAGCCATGAAAAGCGCAAACACAATCCAGTACATCATCCAGCGGACCTGCAGGGACAGGGGAGCAGGTTAGCTAGCATGGACCATGACAGCCTTCCCCTTGCACATATCCATGCCAGCCTGCAGGGCTCAGAGCCAGCCGAGGAGGGGAGGGATGGGCTGCCACGCAAGCCCTCGGGTAGCCCTAATCTGCCTTTCACAAAGGGGGTAGGGCCCTTCACCTGCTATTAGCCCTTGGGTCCAAGCCCCTAGACACATTTCCCCACCCCAGCAGTGGTCAGAATGCCACTCTGCTGCTGGAGGGGGCACGGCTTTTACAGCAGAATTGCATACCAGCCCTTGAGTTTAGGACCAAGGGAATTTACTCCCTTTGGAAAACACATGCCTGGTGACTGACACTGACACACACACACACACACACACCCTCGCCGCCCCACAGGGTCAGCCCGGGTCACCATCCCCACAGCAGAGGTGGGAGACAGATGCATAATGTGGGGATCAGAGCCCAGGCACTCAGCCTCTCCACACTCATCCCTGCTCCCAGCAAACCAATTGTGCACCCCCACCCCACTGCCCTCTTGTGCCCAGCCTCAGGGGGGCAGGGAAATCAGCCCTGCTGCTTTCACGTCTGGCACAACGCCCCCCAGGTAATCTGCCTCCCTGGTCTCTTCCCTAGGGTCCCCCTCCCCACCAGGTCCTCTGTGCCTGGACACAATAACTCACAGAGCCCTCCCCGCTCCTCATACTCACGTATTCCCGGATGTTCTTGGTTTTCACTGCCTTGTAGGAGGCATAGGCCGGATAGAGCATCCCAAACACTAGCCTGTAACAGAGAGAGGGGGTGAGAAAGGCCGGCCACCACACGTAGAGCAGGGCCAGCAGAGAGAAGCAGCATTGCCTGGCTCTGCTCCGCAGCTTTGCCTTCACGGCCTCCAGCACCATGCTGCCCCGGTGCCTCTGCCCAGGGAACGCTGCTCCTCTCCCTCTGGAGCTGCAGTGAGAGGAGACAGGGCGGCAGCTGACTGGCAGCAAGAAAGATGCAGTGGGAAGGACTCGGTGGTGGTACTGGGAGGGAAAGTAGAGCCTGTATCCAGGCCAGCTCCCTGTGACACAGGGCCACCCTCCCAAGCATTCCAGGCAGGCAGAGCGCCTGAACCCCATGACAGATACCAGCCAAGCCAGTAATTAGCCAGAGCGGCACAACTTCTGCAGAGCCTGCAGGCGATCCTGACGGCTACACCCACTTCCCAACGGGGAACAGCTATTAGCACTGACAGGTCAGGATACGCCACATCCTGCCCACGCTCACCTGGCCCACGTGCACCAGCCCTCCCAAGGTGACCCCATTTCACAGACAAATCACGGCAGTGGAGCCAAAGCACCAAGCGGAAGGAAAGCTCAGGTAAATCCAGCGTGTCAGGCTGCAGTGTGTTCAGGATTTAAGCCCTTTTCTGAGCTAGTGGCAGGTTGTTCTGTAGCATGGTGCTACCTCTGCCACCCTTCAACCTGGGTCATGTCCTGCCCCCCTCCAAGCACCCTTTAATGGGGAGTCTGATTTCAGGTCCTATTTCCCTGACACACTTCCTGCTCCAGCCTTCAAACTCTAGGGCGTATTAGTCTCATCCATAGCATCATCCCTCTGGACTGCATTCCCCTCCCTGCTACCAGTCTGACGGCACCTGTGAGCACACACCTGGAGCATGGCTAGTTAACGTGCCTGGGCTGCCACACCAGCTCCTGGTTACACAAGCCAAGCCAGTCCAACAGGCTGCTGCTAAATCACAGGATGGCATCAGGCTGCACTTCCTCACCGGAACTGGTTACCAACAGGTTCCAACACACTGGGGGGAGGGGAGGGACACTGCTAGAGCCGGCCCATGGGGCAGGGCATGGTCCTCAGGAACCTGGCCCTGCTGGCAGAAGTGCTGAAGTGGAGAGGGACACAGGGGAGCAGGGCACAGGGAGAGATGGAGAGCAAGGAGATGGAAGGCTTCTGTAAAGCGGCAGCAGCGAGCAATGGTAGAGTCTGAGCGAGGCTGCAGAGCCGTGTGGGCAGCATGAATCAGCCTGACAGAACAGCACTAGCCAGCCCCCCACCCCAGCAGTAGCTGCACTTCTCCCAGTTATTCTCATGTGTCTCATTCAGATGAAATTTAATTTAAAAAAAAAAAAAAAAAAAAAAAAAAAAAAAAAACACACATAGATGTCATCCGGAACCCAGCCCCCGCTGCATCGCATTCCTGCCACCACCAACCGAATCCCCTGCACCTTCTTCCGAGCCAACACGAAGGCCAGAGATTCCCCCATAAGATCAGCAGGTACCTCTGCGAGTCCAGGCACATGCAGCCCCCCCGGTCAGCCTGACAGCTGAGAGGCAGCTGCATGGACACCCCATCCCACCTGTGCGGCCCACCACAGCTCCTCTTGGGGAATTCCTCAGGCACATCTGGCCTCTGCTGCTTCACCCAGATGGCACTGGAGCTGCAGGGTGGGGTGGTTGAACTTAGCCTCACTCTTCTATCAGGAGAACCAGAGATAGCAACTGAAGGGCTGGAAGCGTGCTGGGTTACCATGGGACTCCGAAGATGTAGAGTGCCATAAACGCGGATTGTTAGGATGCGTCAGGATGACCAGGATTCCAGGTGTAACGGGCAATGGGGAGTCTGCTCTGCAGTACACTGCCAATGCTGTCTTATTGGGCAGGTACCAGCCATTCATCTGTAGATCTCCCAGTACTTTAACAAACCAGGTCGGTAACATTGACCCCGCCCCCCAATTTTACAGATGGGGAAACTGAGGCACAGGGAGCTGAAGCGATTTGCCCAAGGTCATCCAACAGGCCAGTGGCAGAGCTGAGAACAGAGCCCAAGTCTCCCGAGTCATAGTCCAGAGCTCTGTCCGCTAGCATAAGGGTGTATGAGCCCCAGCCCAAACCGCTTTGCTAGACTCAGCCCATTGCATGCACCCCATTTTGCTAGCCCAGCCAGAATGCACTGGCTTCTCCATGCCAGCCCACCAGGGCAGATATGCTTAGCTCTGAAAACTTGGCTACCAGTCTCTTCTAGCTCCCAGCCAGAGAGGGCCCCTTGCCTACACCCAGGTAACCAAATATAAATACAGGCTGTACCCCAGCTTTGCTCTCCTACGCTGGCCCCACACAACCATGTCTGAGAACCTGGCTTTAGCCTTGGTAGAAGTGGAGGCCAGGAGGTGGCCCACACTGGCAAGAAAAAACACATTATTACACAGGTTAGCCACAGCCCTATTTAAACAGGTTTACTCCTGCATCCTATCTAGGGCTGCAGACCAGCCAGTCCATGCATGCCTGTGCTCTGGATCTGATTGCCACCACATCACCTATGGCAGAGAGATGGGGAGGCCACAGTAAAGCCGTCCCCCAGCACCACTTTAGGAAGTCACTGCACAGGCTACCTCCCACTAGGGACAAGCGATACCGTATACAGCCGGGCCCAGCACTCCCCACTCAGAGTCAACCCCAGCTGTGATGCACAATGAGGCAGGTCATTAACAGAGAAGGCCCAAATCCACCAGCAATGGCTCTTCAGGAAGGTGACTCTCTCCTCTATCCCCACCGTCTCTGGGCATAGTATTCTGCAAACACTACAGCCTCCCTCGCCTTAAGGGCAAACTCAGAGCTACCAGCCCTCTGCTGTCTGTCCTTGCAGGGTCCCCAGACCACAGTGTCCGGGTTACATATTAACACGCAACAGTCACAAGGCTGGGAGCAGGAGAGCAAAACCAGGCCAAGTGGCAGTAGTCAAGAAGCTTCCCCCACTGCTCAGGAAACTGCAGCTCCATGCCCCGCGTCTTGGGTGGAGGGGTGCACAAGTACTTCCCTGGGTCACCATTACTGTCTCCCAGGGTGGATAAAAATCAATGATTTTAAAAAAATAATAATTTAAAAAAATCCGATTTTTTTTTTAATTTAAATCGGATTTTTTTGATAAAATGCTTTTTGAGAAAAAAAACTATCTAAAAATAGTGTTCATTAAGATACATTATAGCTCAAAGATATCACATCATGGAATAGGGATTATAAACACTAATTCGATAGTATGAGACAATATATTCATGTAATATTTACGAAACTTTTCTTAAACAAGTTCCAATAGCTCATGCATTAGGAACCCAATCTTTTGAGGTTCCAGGGGCTTCTGTATAGATTATTTAGGTTAATCTTTCTATCTACCCAACGGGACTCTGTGCTCAGTCTAGAAGATACCATCAGAGATGCTTAGTTTTGCAGTTCTCAAACTGTGGATTTGTGTCTCCAAAGATAACATGCTTGTTTACAGCAAAAGTATTTTTAAATAAATATATAGAGGTGAGAAATAACAGACCTCAACCCTATTGTCCCTCTGCAAATTTGTATACACAGAGTCAATCCCTTATCTCTCTCTAAAAGTGCAAAGTTTCAAAAAGTTCAATGAATAGAAGTTTGTTGGAGGCGGAATAGATCTGGACAAGGAGAAGAAGTCTGGAGATAAATACGGGAAGGGAGGGACAGGCAGTAGAAACAAAAGTGAAACTGTTTGAACAGCATATTCCAGACGTGTTGAGGTCTTTCCGAATGTACCCTTCATTGATTTGAGATCTACCATACCATTATAGGGAAAACCTATAATGGCAGCAGCCGTAAAAGAGACCCAGTTTGAAAATATTTTAATGAAGTTCCTCTACCTGTGGGTAAGACAAGCATGCGTACAAAATGCAAACAGTGCAACAAAGTAATGCAAGGCCTGGTTGCCCGAATGAAACAACATCATGAGAAGTGTTCCTTCTCAGGAAGAAGCTGCGTTGAAGATGATGAAAGGAACATGTCTGAACATGCAGGATCTTCAAGTTGGTAACAACCAACAAGAATGCACTCTTACGTAGAAATCCATGATTAAATCGAGTCTTCCTGACCAGTGATTTAAATCGTGGTTTAAATCAAATCCACCCTACTGTCTCCTACACGGGGTTCACAGCCATGGATGTAGCTGCACCAGCACCCCCCCACCCCCAGCATAGCGTGTCTCCACTGGGAGTTTGCCCTGGCGGAGCTACACTGGTGGTTAAAATCCCCAGTACAGACAAGGTCCCAGCTGCCCTTTCCAACGCCTACCATAGTGAGTAGCCCAACAGTTTGTGTTTTAGCAGCTCCCCAAGCTCCCCCCGCTCCACCTCCAGCATGTGGGTGCATCCCTAGCACACCGAAGCCCTAACCTGTGGCCTCTGGAGCCCTGACAGGAAGCTGGCACGTGACCCAGCTTGTGCAGTCTGTGACACGAGATCACTTACCAGATGGGAAATTAACTGACTCGTCTGGGACATCCTGCCACACACAGACAAGCATGTAGGGCTTTCGCTAGCCAGGAAGATTATGGGGTAATGCTACATAATGAGTGGCTGCTAAAGAACACTTTACTAAGGAGATTCCTACCAGATTAGCTGGCAAATCTGCCCAAATGCCAGGAGCCCCTGATGGGCGCTATGTGGAATGCCACAGCAAGGAAGGATACTCGCCCTTATTTTAGAAAGGGAGGCCAGTCAGAAATAGCCATTGCTTTTGGGTGGCTGCTGTCTGACTGGGGTAGGGGAGGGAAACCACACATTCCAGGGGCTGGGTAGAGGTGAAAGGTGCCAAGTTGAAGGCAGACTCCACCAACTGGCTGTAACTCCAGGAGCTAAATATTTAGTAAGTCAGAACAGACACCACAAATAAAAAGGTCAGTTTTTGGAAATACTTTGTCCCTGTTTCACCATCTGACCCCTTCCTTGGGGTGCTACCTATTAAGTGGCAATTAAAGAATTGGGTTTGCTATTAGAATTTGAGACAAGTTAGGTTCCGCCACCGAACAGACATGGTGTTGAACAGGTGTTTTGACTGTTACACCAACTGTTAAACAAGTGTTCTTTTCAACAAACAATTCTAGAACTCCCTTTGCACCAGCCTTGAAATGGATTTCGAACAGCAGAGTCTGTGCTTCCAGGTCCCACTTTGCAGCAGTTATTTGTATGCCCATAGCCTGCAGAGGCCCCAGCAGAGACTGGAACCCCATTGGGCAAGGGGGTGCACACACATACAGTGAACCATCTATATAGACAGGACACAGGGTGGGAGGGGAAACTGAGGCATGGATAAGCAAAGTGACTTGCCCAAGGTCACCCAGCAGCTCAATAGCAGAGGCACGAATAGAATCCAGGTCTGAGTCCCTAGAACTGACAACTCAGAAGCCATTTCAAAGGGAGTCTCGGGAACCCAATGGGCACAGGTGTCCACCAGCAGCGTGACGGAGAGAAATTGAGGCTATTGGAAATGCAAGAAAGCCGACGTCTGGCTTTCCCACATGCTGGCTAAAGCGCACAGGATACTCTGTGGGTAGCCCTCAAACCAAAATGCTTTCTTTGTAATATAGTTTATTTCAAGCCAACCCTAGAGGTAGAGGAAAGGTAAGTGAGGCATCTCAAACTGGGTCAGACAAAAGTCAAAGATGACAAACAAGATAGGATCACACCTGTCAGGGACTGTCTACATTTTCTTGGTCCAGCTTCAGCACAGGGGGATGGACTAGACTAGATGACCTCTGGAGATGCCTTCCAGTGCTACATTTCTAGGATTCTCTCATGCTGGTCTGACCCTCAGGTCTGAAACACTCAGTCAGCCTGAGGTCACAGATTTAAGTCCCAGCAGTTTCAACTCAACCCATATTCCTTCCAAGGCACCTGTACATACCATCTACTCCAGGTGGGTCTCCTAGAGCAGTGTTTTTCAACGACCGGTCCCTGAGATCTCCCTGACACAGTTTAGGAAGGCAGCACGTTGGTCCCAGGTATCAAAACAGTCGAGGAACGCTGTTCTAGAGGAAAACAACGAGGAGTCCAGTGGCACTTAAAAGACTTTAAGGTGCCACCAGACTCCACGTTGTGTTTGTGGATACAGACTAACATGGCTACCCCTCTGACACTTGTTCTAGAGGAGACGCTGAATGACATGAGCCCCACCCGGGGAAGTTAAGAAACCCCCCACTTCTGTGACTAATAAATTGGGGGTTTGCTCCCGTATCTGCTAGAATTCCACCTCCACCCCAGGCAGCACTTCCTACGGTACCCCCTTCCCACCGCAGAGGTGGCCGCAGTCCAGCAGCG